CCCCAGGAAACCCTGCGAGGCCGGCTCGGACTCTCCTGCGGTCCTCCTTCGCGTCCTCAGGGGCGAGCGGCCGGGCCCACCCGTTCTGCTCGGACAGCTCGGACGTTCTCCTGACTGCCGAAGGAAAGCGCTGCCGCCTTCGGGGCGGGTGGGAGGGCAGTGCACAGTGTCAGGGCCTGGGGAGTTCGCGCGGTGGGGGAGGACTGACTTGCATATGCTTATCGTTGCCGACTCGTGGCGCCTCATCAATGATCCTCAGGAGGCTGAGGCAGGAGGATCACTGTGAGCCGTCCTGGGCTACATAGTGGGTTCCAGGCCAGGCTGAACGACGCAGTGAGACCGCCTCAAAACAAGAACAACAGAAAGGATAAAATGGCTTGTGCATATGTGTTGTACCCCTGTAATCTCAGCTACTCAGGAAGTTGAGGGAGAGTACTGCAAGCTTGAGGTCAGCTTATGCAGTTTAGTAAAGTACAGGGCTGGGATGCAGGTCCGTGGCAGAGCATCTGTCTAGTGTGCTCAAGGCCCTAGGTTCAACCTCCAGTACCAGAAAACAGTAACAGCAAAAAAAGATTTAAATAAAATCATTCCCTTCAAAGCTTAAATCAGGGACTTTTAGGAATATAAGAAACAAGAAAGAAAAAAAAAAAGTTAACTTCAACAAAGCTAATTCTCAGGTGGATTTGGTATGAGTAATATACATGGTCATCTTTGAGGGGAAGCTTGGACTAAACATGGGCCTTAGCCGGGCGTGGTGGCCACACCTGTAATCCCAGCACCTGAGAGGCTGAGGCAGGAGGATTGCCAAGAGTTCGAGGCTGCCTTGGCTACATAGTTCAAAGCCAGTCTGAACTGCACAGAAAGACCCTGTCTCAAAAAACCAAAGCCAAACAAGAAAAGTAACCGTAAAACCTGGTCCTCGCTGGGCGGAGTGCTGTACTGTCTCTTGATGAGAAGTGTCCTGCTGTGTGCCAGGTTAGGTAGGTGGACTAGCATGGGGACGCTGACCTAGAGGAGGCTGAAGATCTTACCCCCGAATGAGGCTCCACAGTCGCTCCTCACGGCATTGCCATGAGGGCCTCGGGTGAGGAAGACGCTCCTTGGCCAGCTTCCTGCTTGGCCCGTGACACCTCTGCCTGCTCGCATCTCAGCCCCTTGTTCCATTAGAGGAAGAAAGTTGCCAGAAGTTTGCCTCTTCCTGTCTGTGCCAGAGAAGCCAGGCAATGCATTTTGTGGTGAAAGGTCAACATTCTTGCTGTTTATTCAGCAAAGCTAAAGGTCTCAGGTGTGTGTTCTGTGCCTACACTCTGACATTGATGTTTTCCCATTTGGTTCTCCTAGTCGCAGTTGTCAGCACCTATGCCTATAAAGGGCTGGACAGGATCGAGGGGCGCCTGCCCGTCCTGAGTCAGCCAGCAGCCCAGGTGAGCTGGGATCGAGGTGCCCAGGCTGTGCCGCCTCATGTTCTCACGATCTGCCTGTTTGCTTCACCTGGAGCTGCATCCTTTCTTTCTGTTTTTGGTGGTGGGTCAGGGATTTAACTCGGGCTTGCAGATGCCAGGCAAGTGTTCTCCCTTTGTACCGTATCCCCAGCGCGGGGCTTAGTTCTGAAGGAGGAATGGCTGCTACCCACCTGTGCGGTCATCAGGTTGAATCTCAGCACCTTTGGTCCGAGCAGGCAGGGTCTGTTCTCTGTGCAGCTTTGGCTTTGCCTGCAGAGTGGCAGTGGGTCTGTCCTACAGCCACTGCCCGGAAGTGGGGTAAACGCAGGGGTACGTGGAAGGTCTCCCGGAAGGGGGGTAAACGCAGGGGTACGTGGAAGGTCTCCCGGAAGGGGGGTAAACGCAGGGGTACGTGGAAGGTCTCCCGGAAGTGGGGTAAACCCAGGGGTATGTGGAAGGTCTCCCTTGATATGTTCGCACTCGCTGTGCAGCTCAGGCTTGGCTTCATGCAGGGCTGATGGGGACCACCGTGTTGACAAAGTGAGCCTCATCACCCCTGCAGTCTTTTTATTCAGATAAAGTCTTAAAGTCTTCTTTCAGATTAAGAATATAACATGGAACCAGGCAGGAGGCTGAGGCAGGAGGATCACCATGAGTTCAAGGCCAGCCTGAGCTGAGACCCTGGATGGCATACTGGCAGCCCCTCCTGTGTGCTGGCATCGCGGTTGTGTGCACAGGGCAGGCCTGAGCGGCTCTCTGTGTGAGCATTGCTGGCCTGGAAAGTGGCACTCTGCTAGATAAAGCAGCTTTGCCTGCAGCCACCCCCGTATGTCCAGTCTCACCCAGAATAACCAGCGTGCTTTGACTAATCTCTCATCTCCGACCTCGTCTGCACCTTGGACAGTCCTTAAGGGTGGTGTGGGTTGGGCAAACAGGCCTGACAAGGAAACTTGGGCTCAGTGACTGTCCGTGACTTGCCCAAGCCCAGAAGTCAGGGTGAAAGTGCCAGATTCTTTACCTGGGGGCTCCGGTGGTCAGTGAGGCGATCTGCTTTTTCACTCGCAGGTTGTCACCAATGCCAAAGGTGCCATGACTGGGGCGAGAGACGCTGTGACCAAGACCGTGGTGGGGGTGAAGGACTCTGTGGCCAGCACGATCACAGGGGTGCTGGACAGCACCAAGGGCGCAGTGACTGACGGCGTGGAGAGGACCAAGTCTGTGGTCAGTGGCAGCCTCCACGCGGTTCTGGACAGTCGGGTGGTGCAGCTCATGAGCAGTGGCGTGGAAACCGCTCTCACCAAGTCGGAGCTGCTGGTGGACCAGTACCTCCCCCTCACCGAGGAAGAGCTCGGTAAGAGGACCATGTCTTGCAGTAATGTTTTGTGTCCTAATCAGCCTTTAAGGGAGAGCGTCATGTAGAGAGACTCTGTACCCCCAGAACACTCACTATTTGCAGTCTAAACTATCCGAGCTGTGCAGCCATTGCCCCCGTCCAGCAGTAAACAGACCTTCCTGCCCTGAGGTAACCTTCGTGCCTGTTTGCAGTCAGCCCTGGTGTCCCTTCCCAGGCAACTGTTAACTTGCTCTGCCATCCTGGACCACTGCGGGCCGGGCACGCCTGACCCCCGGGACTGCCCCACATCCCGATGGACGTCCACGCAGGCACCACCGGGTCTTCAGAGTGGCCGCAAGACACGAATTACAGCCCCATCGTGGGCATGGTAGTCTTCATGTCTTTAGATTTCCTTGTTTATTATTGAACTGTACATAGTAAGTTTTGAAACTTCAAGAGAAGTCAGACTCAAAGTATTTTATGTAAAAGACTTAATGGGTTGCCTGCCGGAGTCGTCATTAAAAGACTTCACTGACTGGGGCAGACTCATTTCTACAGTGAGCCGGGTGTGCGTTTCTCAGCAGCTCACTCGGGTGCAGACCCACAGGCTGCGTCTGAGGCGCTGTGATGTTCAGGGTGCCTAGAAGCTGCCCGGCGCAGAGAAGTGCGTACTTGTCAGGTGGGTGGGCAGAGTCAACAACGTGAAGACCCAGGTTAGAATTCAGGCCTCCTCACCTACAGCGTTGATCCCTTCGATGTTTTTTTGTCCCTGATTTCTAACTTCAGAAAAAGAAGCAAAAAAAGTAGAAGGATTTGATGAGGTTGAAAAGCCAAGTTATTATGTTAGGCTGGGATCCCTGTCCGCCAAGCTCCGCGCCCGGGCCTACCAGCAGGCTCTTGGCAGGGTCACAGATGCCAGGCAGAAAAGCCAGCAGACCATTGCTCAGCTCCACTCTGCCGTTCACCTGGTGAGTACAGCACGGTCCGTGCCTTGGGAGAAAGCTGTTCTGTCTCCTGAGAGGAGAGGAAACAATCACAAAAACCAAGAATTCTGATCTTATGAGTCACCTAACAGAACGCCATGGGCAGACAGCACACAGACTGCTCATAGAAAAGGAATAAAAATGGCTGAGCAGATAGGGTGAGGTACGCTGGTCTTAGCGCAGGTATGCAGACACCTTGCTTATCCCTTGAGACCAACAAAACTTGATGCTGTTGGTAACCACAGAAAGAAAGCAATACTTGAGTGTTCTGGAGGACTTAAGAGGGGACTGGTTCAAGGGTCTACTCTAGAAAAGTTAGTTATAGGCACACCTGTATCTGGGACAGCCCTAACTAGGAATTTTCCTACAGAGAAACCCTGGGTGTGTGTTTAGGGTTGCAAGAGACTGTGACAGTCACAGCCGAGAGGACTCGTAGGGCCTCAGTGGGCTGTTGTGTGGCTGAGGAAGATTGCCAGGTACAGAATGCAGTGTGCTGTCTGCTGCAGGAAACCATTCTTGGAAGAGGGAGTGGGTGGCTGGCAATGGGAAAGAGGGAGGTTGAAATCCTCCCTTATAATTCGAACTTACTCTTGACAAGTGTACAGATTGTTTTTTACTTGTCTTACCGGTCTAAACCAGAGGTCAATTTTGAGTCAGTGGTTAAATTGGTTATTAGCTACACAGGGGCAGTAAAGAGCTGCTACATAGTGGTTGACTTACACATATTGATAATAAATAACAGTAAAGCAGGGATAGTCCTCATTAAAGACTTACAGAAATCCTTGGGTCTTATTGCATTTTTTTCCTCCTTGCTTTCTTCCCTCCCTTCCTTTGTTTTCTTTCTTTTTTTTGCTTTTGTGGTATTGGGTATTGAACCTAGGGCCTTGCATATGCTAGGCAAGTGCTGTCACTGAGCTGCACCAGCCCTAATTTCTGAGTTGTTTCATAGAGGTGATAACTAGAGAGGCTAATGCGGACGTCCGACTGGTGTGTTCTGTCTTCTAGATGGAATACGCCAGGGAGAATGTGCATAATGCCAACCAGAGAATCCAGGGTGCTCAGGAGAAGCTCTGTCTCTTGTGGGTCGAGTGGAAGAGAAGCACCGGCCACGACGACACCGATGAATCCCACTGTGCTGAGGTGAGGTGACCAGCACGGCCGCGCCCTGCACGTTCTGGAGTTCTCCTCAGACTTTCCGTTGCAGTTTTCCCTCCTCTCAGAATGATTTCCTCAAGCTTGCTTGCGTGGCATCGTGTGTATAAGTTGCTTGTTATGGGGCAGAAGCAGACGGGAGGAAGGCTTTGTCTGACAGGTGCACAGGTGCTGCTGCCCGCATTGCTCCGCACTGAGTGAGGATGAACGGGGGACAGAACTGGTGTTGGGCAGGGCAGGACCCGGTGCTCCCACAGCAGGGTGCTGGCGAGTCCGCCGCCTTGGGGAGAGACGCGCGCAGACCCCAGGGCGTGAGGGAATGCGCTGGATGGGAGGGCAGAAGAGGGACGAGGCGCAGACAGAAGTGGCATGCGCCCGTCAGGGTCCGACAGAGTCCTCTGTGTGCCCCCGCAGCTGGTATGCATTTGCTTTTTTTATTTCAAATGTTATTGTTACATTTTAGATATACATCATTCATATAGGGAATTTGCACGTGCTTTTAAAAATTTAGTATCCACTGTATTCATATCGTGCCATCTTATTGGAGGGTGGAAAATGTAAATTAAACTACTAGCATGGAGTATGCTTTCATTCTGTCTGGGGTCTTCTGCCTGTTGTGTTTCTTCAGGCTTAAGATGTACTTTGGAGGCTGGGGGTTTAGCTCAGCGGTGCCACCGCCTGCCCCGCAAGTACAAGGTTCCGAGGTCGATCCCCTGTACCAAAAAAAAAAAAGTTGAATTTTGGAGAGGCCGGCCTTGCCGCAGAGCCCGTCACGTGGGCAGGGGCTTGTGACTGAGCCCGAGCCTGTGTTGACAGCTGGGAAGTAGGAATCACACTGCGGCCCTGGGCGCCGAGATGAGACCTTTGGTGCGGGGCACCTGTGGCCGTGACTGTGACCGTGAGGAGGGGTCGCACGCGGCCCTGCTAAGCCGCAGGTTTCTCGTTTCTAGCACCTCGAGTCTCAAACTCTCAACATCGCCCTCGGCCTGACTCGGCAGCTGCAGTCCACGTGCCACACCCTCCTGTCCAGCATCCAGGGGCTGCCACGGGGTATCCAGGGCCGGGCCCAGCAGGCGGGGCTGCTGGCGGGTGACATCTGCTCAGCATTGCGCGGCGCCGCCTCCTTCCCCGAAGTGTCTCACAGCCTCCTGGCTGCCAGCAAAGGGCAGCTGCAGAAGGTGAAGGAGTCTCTAGACGAAGTGATGGATTACCTGGTGAACAACACGCCCCTGGACTGGCTGGTCGGTCCCTTTTACCCCGAGCTCCCCGAGGCTCAGCGCCGGGGTACAGAGCCCCAGCATCGAGCGCCCTAGCGCGGTGCAGCCGGCCAGCTGGCCATGGGCTCCGAGGGAACGCACCTGACAGCTAGGACAGCTGGGGCGATGGGACAGGAGCGAGCTGGGAGAAGGGGCTCAGGTGCAGTCCTGTGCAGTGAGCTGGAGTTCTCAAGTTCATCGGGCTGCGAGAAGAGCACATTAGCCAGCGGGCCTGCCAGGACTTGGGCGAGGGACCTCATGACCACTCTGTTGCTGCTTTTCGTGTCTGTTTAAATAAAAATACCTTCCTGTGGGCTCTGCAGACGTGGTTTATCCAACAATGCGTACTTGTCCAACTTGATTTTAGTTTTTAGTCTTTCTAAAGGAACACTGCCTTTGCAACCAATAAAATAGCGAGTAGATCCATTTTCGTTCCGCGTGCTTTGTGTGCTGCTCCCTGCACATGGCAGTTACTGTCACAGCACAACAGGATTTGGTGCGGTGCTACCCTGGAAGGCTGGTGTTAGCAGTGGAATGTCTGGTAACAGCTTTCAAACCAAAGTCATCAGGCCGGGCACCGGCTCACGGCTAGTCACAGCTACCTGGGAGACTGAGGAGGGAGGATTGCTGGAGCCCCAAAATGACAATCAGCCTTGGCAACATCATGAGACCCTCACAGAAAGAAAAGGAAGCTAGAAAAGCTGGGCGTGGTGGTTCACGCCTGTAATCACAGCACTCAGGAGGCTGAGGCAGGAGGATCGCTGTGAGTTTGAGACCAACCTGGGCTACATAAGTTCCAGTTCAGTCTCAACTACATAGTGAGACCCTGTCTCAAAAAAACAAAACAAAACAAAACAAAAAAAAGGAAGCTGGGTGTGGTGGCACATGCTTGTCATCCCAGCACTCCAGGAGGTTGAGGCACAAGATTGAACCGAGCGGCAACTAAACCACTTCAACCCTGCCTCTAAATATAAAGAAACCCTAAGAAGAGCAGGGATGTAGCTCAGTGTGAATGCCTTGGTTCAGCCCTGGAAAGGATATGAATGAGCACATTACAGTTTAACTACATCGGTGATTGTTCCTTCCATTTGCCAATTTATTGGCTCCAAGAGTGGATTTTTTAGCCAGTGAAAAGAGCTCCTTATGGCCGATTGCCTTGCAGAAAAGGAAGCAGCGAGTGGGTAACTGTATCAGCTTCAGAGAGACAGTAGGTGTTTCTTGCCCCTGGGCCTGTAATCCCAGCCCTGGAGGTGTAGGCAGGTGCATGGCTGGAGTTCCAGGCCGGCCTAGGGAATCTGTCTCCAAAACCGCAAAACAAAACAGGGCCAGGGATTTAGCTCAGTGGTGCCACCACCTGCCTTGCAAGCGCAATGTCCCGAGTTTGATCTCCGGTACAAAAAACCCTACCACGGACGAAAAAGTGTCAGCCACAGATTGCTCGTTGTGCATTTTCAGCTGGCTTGAACTTGCTGTGTTCCGACTTGGGGAGGAAGTAATTGCCCAGAGGTCTCGGTGGTGCAGCACACTGGCCCGGAGAGCACATCACAGAGCAGGCAGTGCTGGAGCAGGCGTTCGTGCTACTCACAGTGTCCTGCAATTTGCCGCGCTCCAGCATGTGTGAATATATTGACCTATTCAAGTAGAAAATTAAAATGTGTGGAGAAAAATATAGTGTTTTTACAATTATTCATTTATTAAGTTAATGCAGTAAACTACAATGTTACTTAAAGTAGAAACTTTAAATGACCTATGGAGAAAAATGCAGGTGACTTTTGCCTAGACTTATAAATTACGTGAACTATAGAGTGTAATCACACCGTGAAATTTCTGTACCATCTCACAGCTAGAAAAATATGTCTCCAGGACCCGGAAGCCGAGTGCGAGCACTGGCTCCTCCGGGTGGGACTGTGGCTCAGGCTTCCAGGGTGAGACGTGTGCAAACCACTGGACGAGTGTAAGCAGCCACACCGGAGATGCACACGGTAAACCTTAGCTTAATGTCAAGTCTGGTTCAGAAGAGCCAGAAATTATTGTGTGATTCATTATGGTGTAAGGAAACACTGATAATCATCTTAGTGGTACCATTTTAAAAAATTATAAAACATGACAAATGTTGCCAAGAGTGCATTCAGTAGAAAATGAGACAACATTTTAAGAACATATAATGCAGACATAACAGTCATAATTGGATTTGCTGTGTTAAAATGCAGTAAGCTGAAACATAATTTTCCTTTTGGCTAACGGTGTGCGGCAGGGTCAGGCTGTACCACTCTCCTGTGCAATGCAGCCACATGCAGAGCTGAGCAGAACTGGCTGCCCTTCAGTCAGACTGAAGCCCTCCCCACCTTTTTGAGATAGGAAATCGCTGTGTGGTTCAGGCTGGCCCACAACTCATGCTGATCCTCCTGCCTCGGCCTCCTGAGCATAGGGTTACTTACAGCATGTGACCACTATCGCTGGCTAGGCACCTACACTTTTAAAACAAAACATCCCTGTTGCTGCTAATGCAGGTGATCCTTTGACCACAGTTTGATAAGTAAAGAGAATATGAAAAAAATTGATTTTTAACCTGAAACTAAAAGGGGTGAGGGAAGGAAGGAAAAGAAAGTAGGGATGGAGTGGTCTGTAGCCCTCTTTCTAAACAAGATCCTTAGTGTAGGTTCCATAAAATGCCTTAGTTTAAGATGACCTTGGCCAACTGTGATGTAGTCCCAAATACTGTGGAGGCTGAGGCAGGAGGATCACAAGAGCAAGGCCAACCCGGGCAATTTAGCAAGATCCTATTTCAAAACTTGGAAGAAGAAAAGGGTTGGAGATACAGCTTCGTGGTAAAGAGCCGGCCTTACGTGCAAGGCTCTGGCTCTGTGCGAACTGCAGAACGTTACCGAGTGGATCAAGTCTGTGGGGACGGACACTGACCGAGCGGATGCTGTGAGACTGACGACCAGAATCCCTGAACTCTGCGGCCCAGGCTGAGAGCTCTGCTGGAGAAGAGCAAGCCTGCGGTAGGGGTGGTGCGCCGCGCTGCCGAACACAGCTAACGGGCAAGCACGCAGTCCAGCTGCACCCACGTCGGTGAAAGGTTCTGTTAAAACCCAGCTCTCCGCCCGTGATCCCAGCACTCTGGAGGCGGAGGCAGGAGCGTGGCCACAGGGCGAGGCCCACCTGAGCTGCATGGTGAGACTGCCTTAAACAAAATACAACCACCAAAGAGTCCTGGCTCAACAAACAGTCTTCACGTATTTGGTGTTATAGCTGAGCATTGCCTCTTGCCTGATCCTATTGTAGCCTTATTCATTTGAGTTACATTTATATAGCACACTGAACATTTACGTTTTTATATCGTCATTTATACTCTAAAAATGAACGCAGTTTTCTGACCCTGTGTAGTGTTTATTCACGCTGCACATGGACTCATTTTGTCAGCAAGCTAAGCCATCTCAGATGGTGTCTGTCTGTCCAGTAGCCCCTCCTACCAGAGCCTAGGGCCACCACGTACCCATGATTTTGAGTGAGAAGAAACACACTGTAGCCAACTTCGGGCGCACACACCTGTAATTCCAGTACTCTGGAGGCTGAAGCAGGAAGATTGCAAATTCATTCCCCGCCTGGGCAACTTAGGGACTTAGACACTGTCTCAAGATTTCAAAAGTCTGGGAATGCATCTTAGTTCCAAGGCTTTGGGTTGGATGTCCAGTACCACCACCACCTCCGGAACAAAACCAAAGAGAACAAAACTCAGCAAAAAGGAAAACCACCCCCTGCATCGCCACAAGTTTGGCGCCCTCGTCTGGAATCCGATGTCATAGCTGGACCTGTGAAGTCCGTGCGCCCGGTCCCCCGGGACACGGGCGAGGCCCCTGGTTTTCCCGAGAGGGCTGCAGTCGGCCTTCTGGCCTTGCAGGGAGGGCCCTGACGGGTGCCGTCTGCGGGGTCGGCCGCACAGTCCCGCTTCAGTGGCCTCGATACGGCGATGTATTCTATAAACCTGTCCAGCGGGCTTCTTGTGCCCCATTTCTAAAAGCCCTGTGGGGTTGGTGAGGCGAGAGCCCAGAGTGTAGACGGAAACCCGACCGCCGCGCTCCTCCGGCCGCCGGCAGGACGCCCGAGGTCGCCCCGGAGAC